GTGTAAATGTCTTAAAATATTATTTTTTTAACTGCAAGCAACTGAAGTTATAGCTAATGACTTTATCCTTTAAATAAAAGTCATTCCAGAAAGTATTTCTATTTATATGTTTAAATAATTTTTCAATTAAAATTGTGGAAAGAATTTTAGGCTTTTATTGAGCTCATTTATGTTATGCAGCACTTTTGTAGCTCATACATTTTAATTTTTGTTGTGCTACTTTTCATCAAGTATGTTTAGACAGTATTTAATATTATGTTCTCATTATGAGTGTACTAATATATTTTTTAGAGATATACATAATAATTATTTAACATGATGGAGGATTCAAGATGGCTTTATTATTACGAAACTTTTTAGCATCTGCTAGCTGTATTCTTTCACAAATAAGTGCATTTATTCTGGGTTTTTTTGACTGGCGGGCAGAAAAGATTTTAAATAGAGCTGCTGGAAAAACAGGTAAGCAAAGAAACATATGTTTCTAATTCTTGTTGATTTGTCTTGTATTGTCTTATAATATTAATATTAGGCCTAAATTCCATTTTACTTTATATTGTTACTTTAGATTTTTTGTATAAGAATTTATAATAATTTGTTTTTATTTCATTGTTAGAATTTCCATAACAGATATATTTACCACGTCTTGGTTTTGAAATAAAATATTTATACGTAATTACTGTGTCAGAAAACTGATATTACCTCATTAGGATATTTTTTTAAATATTGTCATTCACAATTAACTTTTATGTTTATATTTTATACTTTTAGTCTTTTAGTTTTATTCTGTTTGGTATAATAGTAAGTGATCATTAAATCATATATTTTCTAGCTTTTAATATAGATTAGGAAATAAGTTCCCTTTCTTTTGTTTTTTTGGACTTTTCACTCAGCCCTAATCATTTTGAGATCTGCAGAGCTGGATTTGTGTGCTACATTTCTACTGGTCTCCTTTCTTTTCTTCGCAGGTTTTTTACATTTTATGGTAATATGAAATAAACTTTCTTCAGGATGTAGTTGAACTATATAAAATGTACAATTATACTTTTCTTTCAGGTGAGGTTGTGGTACTAAAAGATGTTCTCCAGTTTCCCGCATCCTTCTGGCTTATATCTTTGATTTGTGTAACATATTATGTTGCAATCTTCCCCTTTATTGGATTGGGCAGGTGTGTTTGCTGTTTCTATCTTTTATGCTATTGCTGCAATTTACTGTACCAGGTGGTTTATGCTTTTATCTGTTATTCTCAGGATATGGATTATTGAAATTTTGTTACATTATTATATTATCATTATTATTATTATTAAGATTAATATAACAGTCAGGGAAATGTGTTAAACACCAGAAATGAAAATGTTTTGTTTTGGTAGAAAAATTTATTTTTAGTAAAATACTTGAATAACCTTTGAAGGTTGGTACATATTTTTAGCTTCATGATATGGTTACATTATTTTATTATTGCCATTGTTTTTCTTCACTGGTTTGGCACAATAACATCATTAGCATATAATTACTTGTATTTCATATGTAGGCATGATTTTCATGCAGATTTTGTGTTACCCAATTAGTTTTTGTATGTGTGGTAGTTAGGTATTGTGTAAAACAAATTATATTAATTTATTTCTGTTACTCAGGACCTGCATTTTCACACAATTTTTACAAATGTTATATTTCTCTCATATGTGTAATTTTTAAGCACAAATTTGTTTTTAAATCATATTCCAAATGCAAAATAAAAATTCCTACCCTAAAAATGAAATACTTTTCTCAGAAATAATTCTTCAACTTATCTGTCCTCTTGAAACTTTAATGTCATCAATTATTAATTGTACATGCTATGTCATTAATCATGTCTTAATAATGATACAATTCCTACCTCTTCTCACATAATCACTTTCTCGTTCAGTGCTGCCTTCTATATGCACTTTTTTTTCTTGCCACTAGCCTTGATACTCCCACCTATCTCACATGTTTAATGTGGTACAGCTGCTTTGTAGCATACAAGTAAGTATGTGACAACCCTCCAACAATAAGAATGCAACACATCCTCTTGGCATAGCTGGCTCCTTGTATATTGTAGAACTCAATCTTCACTTCTAGATTTGGCACAGTAGCATGAAGACATGTTCAAATTTCTCTTGTGTTTGATTTTCATTTTTCTAATTTTTTTCATTTGTTTTAAACAGCATCATTGTTTCTGCTTTTGTTTTTTCTACAGTTAAACTTGAGTTACTGTAAGTAGTTATTTTTCTTATCCACTTTCAGTTGAGTTATGAATTCCAAATTTCAAATCACTGCTACTACCACATTAATTAACACTACTACTGCACTTCAGGCTTCACACTTTTGTTGAGGAGGTCTTGATTTTAGTATGTCATGAATTGGAGTCATTGTGTGGCCTGTTATTCCAAACCAGATATTTCCTTTTCTGGTGAACCTGGACAAGAAGAAGACAATTTGAATAACCTTTTTCCACCTCCTTCTTTTGCTGTGCAATCCAGTATTCCCCCTGTGGATGCTCTCAGACCATCTTCAGCCTTTCTGGATGTGATGTCACAGATATGTTACCTCTTGTCTGTGTCTACTTTGTCGTATGACTCATCTCCTTCCCTTTTACGTTCCACCCCTTCCTCTGATTACCTGGTTTTTCCTCCCTCTCCAAATATTGAGATCCATGCTGACTAGCTTGTGGCACTGTTACATTCTGGGGTCAGCATGCCTCATCTCCTCATACCTCAGATAATTATGCTTTCGCATACCATTGTTTGGATTTTCCATTTCTTGACTCTCAAACATTATAGTATTTGATCTGGGTGCGGGGTTCTGACCTTGATACCTCTTTGAGATTTATCCAGGCCCAATTTTCCCCCTTCATTTCTCCTACTCCTCTCACCCGAGATATCTCTCCTCCATCCATCTTCTGTCTGAGGTTATCCACTGCTCCCCTGAGGGGTTGTTGGAGAATACTTGCTCCCTTATGTATTCCACATTGGGAAGCTTGTATTCCTCAGCCCGTTCCCTTCAAACGGAACCGGGTATGCTTCTGAGATATCTGATGGGATGGGGCAAATAGCAGCCAGTCATTCATGTAATGGTGAATCCATAGACTGTGAGAACGAAGAAGTCAAGTAAGGGTCCTGACCACCCAACAAAATATATAGGGTGCAGATGCTAGACAAAAATGGCAAAGCACTGAATTGATAAATTCGACCCTTGAGGACAAAAAGAAGGTAACATCTTGATGTTGGGGAAATAGAAATGGAAAGGTATGCATCCATGACGTCCATTTTCGTCATCCAAAGACCTGAAGTAAACACCCAACAAAGGGTGAGGAAGTACTCCATGGTGAAATCACTTGTACAGTCATGCACCAACCTTGCAAGAACCTATGGGATAGTCAACGTTACCATTGGTGGCAGGAAACCTGGTGATGAGTAATTTGGTGGGTAGCTGTCAAAACCTTGGAAAAAGGAACAGGAGCACATGAAGGCTGCAATAGATGAGAGACCAAGAACGTAAGGGAGGAGTGTTGATGAGCAACCTCCACTCTGGACCCCAGAGTTGGGAAGATCTCCATAAACTGTTCTACATAAAAACAGGGACATACAGAGGTCATGTAGATAAGTCATTGGTAGACACACATTACTTAAAAGTGTGTCCCTATTCAGTAGATTCCAAAAACAGAGGAGCCATTTCTTCAAGAGGCATCTCAGTTGTATTAACTTGTCAAGCTGGAGAAATCTTTTCTTCTTTCAACCCAATACTTTAGCCATTTGGGGCTGTTTTTCAACTGTTGTCTCAGTTGTGCCCAGCCTTCTCCTTATTGTTTGCAGGCAATGGAGCTGTTAGTTCTCCAGGCTCACTTTTCTCCTTCTCTTACTGCATGTGAGATTCTTTCTTTTTTGGAGACTTTGGCTTCCATGGAAGCCCTCATTCTCTTAGGTTGTGCTCACATGCACACCCTTCAGTGAGTGTTGCATGATCAGTACAATCTTGCCCAGGATCTCCTGGACTCTGTTCTCCCTTTCCCTCCATCCCTGCATATCAATTTAGCCTGGTTGCTCAACAGAGACAACACCATGTCGGGTGTTCCTCTTCCACCTCCTTGTCTGGAGTTGCATCTTTATGGACTTCTCTGATGGATTGGGGAGCATTTCTGGATGCACAGGAAATCACAGGTCATTAATCTTCTGTCAAGGCAGCTATAAACATCAACATACTAGAATTTCTTGCTTTTCACTGGGCTTTGGATCATTTCCTTCCTTTAATATGAAACAAAGTTATCATGATCCATTCCAACAATTTGGCCATTTTCTCATATATATATATATATATATATCAATCAATAAGGGGGTGCCCTTTCGTGTTCACTTTGTTTTTAGATATTAGAACCTTTCTTCTGGGCCCATTCACATTGCACACACTTACTGGTGTGTCATGTTTCAGGTGCTCTGAATCTATTCAGATCGACTGTCTCATCCTGACAAGGTTCTTTTCCACAGAGTAGTTTCTTGATCCTCAGATGTTTTTGTGGTTGTGCAATCAGTGGGGTACTCTACTTCTGGATGCATTTGCCACCCATCTCAATGCCAGCTACCCCTTTTTCTGTCCCTCATTCCACATTCTTTAGCTTTGACAGTGGACACCTTCAGTCAGGATTGGTCCCACCTTTACCTGTATGCTTTTGTATCTCCACCCCAGAGTGTTATCTATTATCCAGTCCACTTTGTTCCAGGTCCTTCTCATTGTACCTATTTTGCTTGCTCAACCATGGTTTCCAGTTCTTACCCTCCTTCAGTCAGCACCTCCATTACCACTTCTGCTATTCCTCTCCCTCCTTCAACAACCTTAGTCGCTGGTGTATCATCCCAACATCACCATACCTGGGCATCCTGTGAGCCATTTATCTGGGCTCTCTGCATGGGTAGCTTCCATTTTTTCTTGTTTCATCTGTCCTTCCTCCTTTCTGGTGTATCAGAGTAAATGGCATGTTTTTTGCTGGTGGTCTCTGCACCATGATTACCCCCCCTGCCTTCCTGTCCTACTGTTCCTCATTTGTCTGAATTTTTTACCTGAGTGTTCAACAATGGTTTAGCCATTTCTACCATTGCTGGCTAAAGAGCATCCTAGTCCAATACCTTCCATTTTTACCATTCTCGTTGAGTGTTTTCCACTTCCTTTTGTTTTGTCCTCATCATCCTATGCTCCTTCTTGACTGGGATCTCACTGTTGTTCTGTGGTCTTATCCTACCTCCTTTCGAACCCTTGGACACCTGTTACGTGTACCATTTGTCCATCAAGACCTTTTTTTGCCTGTGGTCATTGTAGATTTTCACCCCTGATGTATCATATGTCCTTTATCATCATATTTATGTTCTCCTATGTCCAGATTGCAGTTTTTTCCCAAGACCATCAGTGGTCCAGAAAGGTAATGTCACAATTAACTTTTTTTTCCCTTCCATTTCCCATTTATATTCCTTCTTTGATCCAGATTGTCTTCTCTGTCATGTTTGTGCTCTATTCTTCTTTCCATGATTCCTGTTTGTTTATCCATTGGAACCCTTCCTCTCTCCATGATATATCCCCTACTGCCCTTACAGGATGGATTCACCGGCTTATAGATTGGCTTATTCTTTCTTGTCTTCCAGTTCCCAATATCTTTTCCAAGTATCCTCTCATCTAATCCAGCACCTCTCCCTTTCCCAAGCTGCTCATTTCCATCATCCATTGAAGGAAATAATTTGGGTTGACATGTAGACCACACCAAATACATTCATCTCCCATTACCTTCATCGTGTGGCCAATTCCTCGTCATCTGGATACTAAATACCATCTGTTCCCATTCTCCACACCACGGTTCAACTGTGAGTGGGTAAGTGTATATTTCGTTATATCCTATTCAGGGTCACTAATGTGGTGCCTGTCCCGATATACTAATTCATAAATCCACACTGTACAGCCTTTCTGGTATATATTCCACACTGTTTAGATGGTATGTTCCACAAGACTGCTAGTAGGTTCATCCTTGCAGTGTTTTGCTTCGTAACTATGGGCTATCAGGAGTAAAGCAATGTTGGGATTTGCTGTTCATCTCTTCGATCCTGGTTGAATAAATTGAGACCCGCCTGGTTTTAAAAATCGGGTTTCATGGTCAGCCATTGCACTTCTCCAGTGTTCCATTCCTACTGACTCCCCACATTGTTGTTTCCCCCCCTCTTCTAGTGGAGTATGGGAGTCCTTGCCACTTACCAGCTCCTAGCCACTGGGATGGTGGGCCTTGGAATCATCCTTCTGAGTGTGCTCAGTGCCATTCAGTTGAGTGTAGGATGGTAGTATTCTGTTGGTGTAGATGGTGTGAACCCTTCTCCTACCGCAGATTGGAGATATGATATCAGACACCACCTGGTTATGGACTGGAAATGATCCACCAAAATGCAGTTTACCCCTCCAGCTGGGACTCATCATCCTACACTGCCTGGATATTGAATACCGGTTACCAGGTAGTCTGGTGTTGGATTATAGCTGGACCAGCTAACATAAGTCCTCACACATGTGGCTGGTATGGAGTCCACATCCTACTGTGGACTGGACAATAAATTTCCAATGCCGCTTGGGTTTTAATTTGAGTAAACAACCATGTTGCATTCCTCCTTCCTACTGTTGCTCAAATATTGGTTCCTGGGTGGCTTTTTGTATTGGGTTTGCTTACATGTGCCCTGCTTGGATAGTTGGAACAAAAGTTGTTTTCCCTTCTGCTTCCTAAGCTTTAGGTGAAAACAGTCATACCATGGACTGAAAGAGAAATACTCGATGCCTCCTGGTTTTGGACTGGAGTTGATCCACTGATTACAGTCTGACATGTCCTAGCCACTCTATACCATTTGGTGCATCCAATTGCTTGTGAATGTGCTCCTTTTCTGGCCTATATGGGACATATATTTTATCAATGGGCAAAGAGTTCAGATGTGTGAGGTCTCCCATAGATGTGTTCCTCTATTGAGAGAAGTCATACTCCATGAACTCTCTTTGGATGCTTTCCAATGGGTGCTCTTCTAGGCAAGTTTTGCTTCAGCCCCTCCACCAGTTCAATTTGAGATTCTAGTTATTACGTGAGAGGAGGTGAGGTATAGTATCGGAAATTAGATTTTTCCTAAACAAAAAAATTTACTTCCAATAGAATAGATACTTACCTCTTACTTCACATCCTTTTTTCCCCACTTCTGTTACTCCTTTTTTGCCTAATCTTGAACTGAAGATTAGGTTCTATTCTATAGAGCAGCGTTTCCCAAACTTTTTTGGCCACAGAACACTTTTCAGCTAAGAAAAAGCTTATGGAACACTAGACACGTGAAATATCGGTGTAAAGAGTATGTTGTGCATGCAGCGCCCTCTAGATTTGTATATTATTCATTTATTTATTTAATCAATTTACATATTAATTAATTTTTACATTTTTATACTTATAATATATTTTAGGTACAAACCTCTCCACTAAGATATTATGTAGAATAGA